GGCCGGTGGTGAAGCGTTTTTGGATGGCGAGGGCGAGGGCGGGCGAGCGGGGAGGTGGGGAGGCGAGTGGGAGGATGTCGGCGGTGCAGGTGATGTTGAGTGTGGCGCGCAGCCGGAGTGGGGTTTGGCCTCTGATGCGGTTGGCGAGGGTGCGGCAGGCGAGGTCGGTGAGGGAGGGAATTTGCAGGTGGTGAGCGGTCTGGAGTGGAGAGTGGAGGGGGTGGGGGCGGAGGGTTAGCGAGGGAAGGGTGCTGGGGGGTGGATGAGGAAATGGGGATGGGGTGGGACGGGATGGGACGGACTATGGTGATTTCCCAGAGGGTGTCGTTCTTTACGCTTAAGAATCTCTGATCCCACTCATAGATGGGTGGGAGAGCATGGAAAGGGATTTCGCGGGGGTTGCCATGGCTGCTGGTTGGATAGTCGGTTTGATGGTGTTTGCACCACTCGATGATCTTACGAAGGACATGTTCGCTGACCTGTATAGCTGTTATTGACCTATAAGGATAGGATAGAGAGGTAGTGAGCGGGCCTTGCCCTGATTGTCGTTGATAGATATGGGCTCTATCCTCCCATTCTTTGTAAGGAGTGTCTCAATGAGGCCACACTGTCTGGCGAACCGACGGTCTGTACAACGCATAAACAATGAGTTTGAAAGGCTCGCGTACAAGTGCACACACTAACACTTAATAAGATATCATCGTGAATCTTAAGAGCAATCTGCTCGTCTACCATGTCAGGTATCGCAGTGCTACTGTGATGAAAATGTATTGTTAGAGCGGACGAAGATTGATCGTGTAGGTAAGTAGATTATATTAGACCGGGAGCGCCGTATAACGCTATTCGTGAATATTTTTTCGTAAGCAGGTACTCTGGTAGGCTGTACCCATATATGTACTGCTCAGCAATAGGCAGCAGCGGCAATATCCGGAAGGATTCGTCGCGTGACATGGGTGCGAGTCGGTAGTAGATTAGTCAGCATGGTTTAAGTAGCAGGGCTGGCTGCGCCACAACAGCACGTTACGAAAACGCCTTTCTGTAGTAGATGGAGTACTAGAGGATGGGAGGAGCTGGTGCGTGTAGCGTGAAAGGTGACACCAGACCACGGAGTAAACTTAGCTATCAGCCCTACCTGCAAAGTAACATTTTCTACCCACGAAGCCGCCTCAGTATTGACTTTAATTGCCCATAAGTATCACATATTGTTGCAAAAGACAGCAACACAGCTTTTATGACAATCGATTCCCAGTAGTTATCAAGGAAGACAGGAGAAGTCCAGAAAATTGGCTACCAGGTAATGTCCTTCTATCCGTCCAACACTTCCCTCTTGACCGCACCGTTGGTAAGACCATACTACAGCGCACATCGGCAAGCATCATATCTTGCCTTCACATTGCGCCCATCACAGCTAGTGGCATGCCTTTTACATGCTGAAGTAATCATCGCGGGGAAGCGGAACGCCGCCGTCGCTGTCGGTGTCGCTGTTGATGGGAGTTGTGTTGTCGTTGTCCCTCTGGACTTCGATGGCAGCGCCGTGTCCGTCCCCGGCTACGTCTGTGTGGGCAAGGGTGCACTCGTCTGAGTGCTTGTCGGTAGACTCATCTGCATACTCGTGCGTGCGCTCGTCCGCCAATTCACCGTTCTCCCCACTTTTGACAACACGCTGTTCACAGTCGCTGCTCGGACTCGTTGTACTTCCCAAGGCTGACCCGCCCTGGGAGGCCGTTCCGCGACTGTCTACGGCCTTTGACAAGGAGGTGTCGTCACCAGTCACGAGCTGACCTGCGGATCCAGACTGCGGAACATACATCGTGGACCCAGCCAGCTCATGCATGCGAGTGGTGTCATCCTCGCTTTCAAGAGCCACCGTGTCAGTGACAAGTCCCGTTTCGTGGTCCTCCTCCTGGCTTAGCGCCTGAGAGTCTTCCGCTTGAGATGCTTTGCGTGAAGCAGATGAGGGTGATCCGGGCTTGGGAAGTTGGTGGTCCATGGCTCCTGGCGGCATGTAGCCATCTACATCTTGGATAGTGCCGTAGTCTTGTGGGTTGGTTGATGAGCCGATGGCGGCGGCCTCGGTGCTCATGTTCGTTCGAGCGAAGACATGGGCAAGCTTGCGAGGAATGTAAGCGGTGAGCGTTGAGAAGCACATGACCTTTGAAGTTGGTGCAAGATTGACCTTGTAGAGAGTGTAGGTAGTGAGGGAGGAGAAGAGAGAGGGTTGAGGATGAAAGAAGAGAGTTTGGGTTTGAAGAATATATAGGTAAGTAGATGAGGTAGCTGGGGACGTCGGTACATACGCTTGGACTACAACCGGGGTAGTCGCGTGTTCATCCATTGTTTCCCACAAGTGTTAAGTAACTGCCTAGAAAGACAACATTTTTCAGACTAGCTAAACAAGATAACACATACGTCCGTCTCCAGCTCCCACATTACTTTTGAATTCCGGTTTCGCTCCCAACCGACCAACGCTTTAGACATGACAAGATATAGGAAGAAAACCACAGGATACTGATTTAGTAAACTTCCACTAACGCTCAACATAAAGCCACTCAATTAGTAAGCTCTATAAATGCGAAATGGCTTGGTCGGCGGATAACGACTTTGCATCCCTCAAAGTGATCAAGTCTGCCCGACAGCCCCAAGAATAGTAAAGTGCAGATTTATAGCCTAGAAGATGTAAAACAGGAGACTGACAGACTGCGATAGTGTTGTATCGTCGGTCATCGTGGCCATTGCGGTTGCATTGTTTTACTAAAACAGAGGAGATTTGGTTCGATTGCTACGTGAGCATTGGAGTCAGACAAAAGCAAAGATTTAAAACAGCGCCTCGGATGGGTGTTTCAAAATTGGAAGAGAAACCCCGGGTAGGCACATAGTATCGTCTGTTACTGAAACCCAGCCTTGCCAGCACGTTCCAACATGCAACTTATGAATTTGTCTCTCTTCTACCAACATGACCACCGAAACAGCCAACATGGCGACCCAAGAAACAAGAAAGCCTCTTCGGTGCCGCTCCTGCGCCGCCTTCGTCGAAGACACCGTGCAGACAGAGACGTGCAAGCGCGGCCGCCACATCTCCCCAGACAGGCGCCAGAGCGGGATATGCCGCGAAGGTATGCCCCCAGTCAGGCTTCCACGTATCCCACGTGCTTTTCCTCCTCCAATGGTTGTCCGGCTGGGCCGGGCTACGCTCTCTAGCGCAAACTGAAACAGCTGTCCGCACCAGCAATCGATCTCGGCCGAAATCGCGCGAACGGCGGCTCGACATTGAGAACGTCTCTCAACAGGCACTTGGGAAACACCCCGATGCCTACACCGTGTGAATCACGCGTGGCTCCCCTCAACCTGAGAATGGCCAAGAAAAGACGGCGATGATGCTGTCGCCATATGCCTCACCGGCCGCTATTGAGAGCTGGCACCGGAGGATCTGGCCGGTGGATGAGCCGGCTGAGCTCGACGATCTTGGTGTTTAGATCTGCGGGCATTTGGGTCGCCTTTGCGCGGATCGGATTGCGAACACCTTCTCAGACCTCGGCTGACCATGTCACAGTCCTCAGGAAAGGGAAACGGGCTACCACTGATTGGATTCAGCCGGCCTGCCAGACTTATCTTGCTGCATTCCCGGATGCACTCGATAGGTACAAAGACCACTCTGCGAAATGTCTGCAGCAAGGAAATAAGTCGTTATCAGCTTGTTGAGTCACACAGCTTGAGACCAAATGCGGACAGCCCGCCGTGCCATCATAAACGTTGACATATGCAACTGGAGCCCCTTGGGGCGTTTCCGGCGTACAACAGGATCCCTCTAGTGGCAAAGTATTTTTTCCTTGTAACTCAGCATTGTCAGGATAGTTGAGGGTGGATGGGGGCTATAGATAGACAATGTTGCGCAGTGCGTAGATCAGTGAGGGACACAGAAGGGGGTCCGGTGCGACGTCACCATTGCGTCGCCATGGAAGAGTGAAATCGATGGCCTATTGGATGACAATAACGGCCATATCTCTGGCTAACCTTGTCCCTGCTTGACTGGTTAAGCGATTTACAGGGGTGTGGCGGCAGTGGTTCGTGCTGGCGGTTGCTAAGAGCTTGGGCCACCATGCAGTAGGGCAGTCTCCCGCTATCTCAGAGGTACAAAGACCCCAGCTCGTCGTTAATGTGCGACACAGCAATGAATAGCGTATGCACGCCCGTTTCATGTCGCTGCAGGTCGGTCACCTTACGTTACGAAGATCCCATCCGTGCCAGCAACCCAGACCGGTAGTAGTCCTTGGTGCCGTCACCTTGTAGCAAAGAACGTTTGTGTAATGTTCACCGTTCAACTGCATCGTTCTGCTCTTGGCCTCCCAGGATTGTCTGCTGCTTGGAGGAAATTGCGATGTCCACTAGGCCGCGCGCCAACAAGCATGTGCATGTAAATCAAGTCTGGTTGTGGCACCAGCCACAGATCGGCAACGTTAACGCATGCCCCCCATTGCGGGGTATAGATAAGCGCGACTCAATTCACATGTTGAGCAGCTTACCTGCAAGGGGAGATAGTAACGACAACTCTAACTACCACTTGCTGGAGGCTGGGTGGGTGCCAGACCATCACGATCCCGTCCCACATTGAGATCTTCCCATATGGATGCATATCTCGGTGTCGTACAGTTTCCGCTTTTGCCTTGGCTAGCTTGCATCTCTATCTTCGTTGAGAGTTTTGTTCTCACAGCACTGAAGCTACGAGCCGCCGTGACTGTCGTACATTTGGTTCAGGCAAGCTCTGTAGCGATGGTCTGATGGCTGAGTACTTGCATTAGTGTGGTTTGAGAGATCAGATGCCATCAGATGAGCTACCACTTTCGCTGATGCGTATCAGAGCCATGTAAAAAAACTGCTACATAAATCAGCGGTATGCGCCTTCGCCAAGTCTTATTGTGCACCATCACGGATCGTTTGGAACGCCCTCACAGTCCTGGGATAGGACAGTGGGGATCCAGAAGGAAACAAGCAAGATGTCTTTCATTCTTTTGGGGCTCAGATTCTCACTGCATACGAAATGGTCCATCACATCCAACGTACTTACACACAGCACAGCGCAATCAGTGTTGGTTCGCTCAAAGGAACTCAATAGAGTAGGAAGGACTCATTCACCCCTCTTTCACGGGTTTTCCTCTTATAGCAATTTGGCTATGGGAAACAGGTATGTAAGCTACATTGGTACTTGGCGCAGTAGTCATCGACTAACACGGGTTGCACCTAGATGGTCGGGAAAGGCTCATCATACTACATGCCGCCTATTCTGTGTTTTCGATGGTGAGTAAGGAGCAACTTAGACCTCTGCTGCATTTCACTGTACTCTAAAAACTGTCATACCAGATTGCGGAGGAAACCGAGCCGTATCCTCTGAAGGAAACGGTTCCTACTTTGGCCTCAATGGAAGGGCATTTTCTACGGACAATCGCCTCCTGCAGGACCCTAAGACATTTGACGCGCCCTCGCTCCGGCACGTTTATACAACTCACCACCCACTCACTTGTACCAGGTGCAAGCATGGCTTTGACACATGGGAAGAGTTCCGGGACCATGTCCACTGCATACCGGCATATACCCCCCCGAAATTCACCCACTCTTGCGCTCAGAGCCCACGATCTTCTTCTACAAGCAACACTGCGCCCGACGACCGCGTCAGCAAGAAGTCTTCGAAATCCAATCAAGTTTCACCAAAAGACACACCCCTCGACACATTCTTCGACACTTATGTGAAGAAGAATGGATTCAGATACGATCGAACAAGCAATCCGTCCGCCGCATTTGCTGCTTTACGGGCGCACATGGCCTGGAAATACGGCGATTCCAATTACGAGTATGCAAAGTCCGGATATCGCGCGGCACTGCGAGAAGAATTAAAAGTCTGGTTCGGCAGCGAGGATGACCTCGAAAACTGGCATGCTTTGTGCAAGGCGGTTGGGATTGTGTCGCTCCCGAGCACGTGCGACAAGTGTCAGGAGGCGTTGCGTGGGAGGCACGTCAATCTCATAGACTTGATTAAGTGGGCTCGAGCGGAGGGGAATGATGAACAGTTGGTGAAAGTGTTCCGGGATGTAGAAGGGCTGCGGAGGTACACATGGACCACGGGCAAGGTCTTTCCCTTGATGGAAATAGAACAATCAGGGGTCGAGGGCGACGGACAAGTGGTAATTCGGCACTTACTCAGGAGACTTCTTTGATACTAAAAGTAAGTAGACTGTAACTTTTCTGCGATGAACAAGACTTGGATGGTATAGATGCTCCGTGAGGATTCGGGTAGACGTGACAGATGGTTTGCCTCGTTGATACGTGTGAGAACAAAGCAGAGCTACGAATATTCGGACTTGGCGGTGCTCACTGCGGGAGAGTGCGAGGGAACAATCCTGGATCAGCGACTTCTTGCGTAAATGGGAAATAATCGCATAGAGTTGGAGCATTTGCGCCGCTGCTTTTACTCCCGGTGGGAATTTTTTTTGAGGGGGCATGGGAAACCCTAAATTAGGCCCCTCACCACCTGAATTAAAGTCCGCGCATCTCTTAAGTGGTGCATGACGCGAAAAACGCCTCGGACAATCCACAGCACCCATGGGCGACGTCTTTGCTGGTGCGCCTGTGTTTAGGGTAAGCGACATTGGGGAGAAACACGACACGCTGTTGAATTCACAATGGAGAACAGAGAGTGGGCTGTGCAATGGCAGATGCTGCAGTGTGGAAATTGTGACGTTCGCAGGCAGGCAGGGTTGGGGCAAAGACACACGCCTGGCTTGCAAAACGTTAGTCATTAGAACGGGGACCACCGGCCTCAGTGGGCGTGGTTGATCGAGCTTTACCGCTGGTGGAGGAGGGCAAATGAAACAAGCGGGTGAGTGGGCAATATCGCAGCTAGTGTAGGGGCAGATTGTAGCTTGGCGGCAAATGTGTCGGGCTGTCTGTTCTCTTTGTCTGTTGCATCCCATAAGGCGAAACCCGTCGTGCACAAAGAGACAAAGACTTCGCACGCGTCAGATCAAGACATCGATCGTTTTTGCTGTTTCGGAACCAGATCTTTTTTTTTTTCGAAAAAAAAAAGCAAAGTCCAAAGCATGCAAAGGCGACGCCGTCGTGGTGTTAGGCTGTGGCTCCACGTTACCATCATACCCAAAGAATCGTCAACACCGCTGCAGCATCGCAGTGTCTAGCCCTCTTTTCATTCTTCAAAAGCGTCAAAATGGTTTTTGGAGGGTTGATCAATCAAGAACCTTTTGTGAGGCGAGAGGTACGATTGCAAATAATGGCTGTGAGATACCGGACAGAGCTGACAATGGTCACGGCTGAATCCGGCGAGTAGGATGCACCCAGGTTTGCTCTTGTCAAAGGACGTGTTGTTCGGCTTTTCTTGACCCAAAATGATGCGCTGGAGAGACGCTTTGTCAATGCCACAACCAATTCAAGATACGTGAACGGCCAAAGGTATCGACGAAAATCCATGTGGACAATGCTCGGTCTGACTCTTGGCCGCCCGGGTCCCGATGCATCCGTGTCGCTCACCAAAGTAAGTCGTGAAAAATGGGTCTGCAGTATTTATTCAAAGCCGTCTTCCTTTATTTTTGGGGAGTTTGTGACCTCACCACTTACATTGCCGCTATCTCTCTTCCCAGTTGTAGGCTCCACTTCTGAACAAGATCCCACCAGCACCAGCCTCAAACGTGGGCCGATAGCGTTGTTTGCCAGTGATAGTCAGGCGCTCTCCAGTGGTGCCTGTCGAAAGGGAACAACCCGCCCAACCAACGGACGAGTAGGATCATCCCGCATAGCCGTTAAACGAGGGGAGTCAACTGACTCCTCAACACCAAACGAGCACGGCCAGAACGACGAGCATCTTTGCAATCTATCGCCTGCATCCTTACATAGTCCGCTTCACTCTTCCAGAGTCATGGATAGTCCAGTCATCGACGAAGGTGGCATCGAACAGTCTTCAGCCACTGTTGCCGCTCCTAACCGCCCAGCTCCACTGCAAATCAATGATCTCCCAGCTCTTGTGAGTGGGTCGTCGCCAAGCAGTGATACTTCCCAGGCAAATATCGGCAGTTCCAGCCACACTGAGTCGACAGAAACTAATAACACCAGCCATAATTTGTCGCCCACATCCCCTCACCATGGCCAGACTTCAGGAGCCGGTAGTTCTGAGCAGCCCCAGCCAGAGGCAGATGACAACAATCATGGCAATTGCAAGGACAGTAGCAATGACGACCTTCCGGTAACTGTCGAGTCCGATGACGAGGAAGCTCCCCTGCCGACCGACTTTGAGTACCCCGGGGCCCGTACACTTGTCCAAGAGTTGCGGCAGCTGTTCGGAGCCTGCATGGCCCCAGAGAATATGGACTATGCCGACGCATCCAACGCTGGACAGATCACCATTCTCAGCAAGCTGGTCCGTACAGCAACCCCCCTTTCCATTCCCTCCACAGACAATCCTTACTAACCCGCATCGCCCTTCCAGACCGTCATCCTAGTCTTCCACATCATCATCCGCGCCCTCTACTCCGTCACGAAGTTCGTCCTCAGCATCCCCACTACCATCATTTCTTCCATAATATCCATCCTCTCCGGCATCGCCGCCGGCATCGCGAGTCTCATCTCCACCGCCGTCAAATCCGTCTGCACCGCATTCACCACCGCTACGATGCGCATCCGCAACACCTCTCAGGATGTCTGGCTGCGCGTATCCGGCCGCTGGCCCCGCGCGGCGGCGTATCGGACCTGCATCGCAGCTCGCTCCCGTACCTTCTTCGCCGCGATTCGAGACTTCTTCTCCGCCGCGCTAGATTGCCACGCCTTGTGCGTGGTGGCCCTGCTGCTGGTTGTCGGAGTGGTGTACCGGGCGCAGATGGGGTGCTGGGGGTGTGACGAGTATTGGTTCGGGATGGGTGATATACATTGGAGCGATGTGCGGAGGTGTAGGGGGGAGTTGGGGGAGAGCTTTGTGTGAACTGTTGTGTGAGTGATAAAGTCTGTATTTATTTCATTTTTCGTGTTGGTCTTGGTGTCTTGGACGGCGCCAGGAATGACCCAAGGGAGTCAATTCTAATCACTGTTTTCGTTCTTGGTCCGCGCCGCTTACACAAAGTGGAAAATGGATGCATTATTTTTCTGTCTGTGACCAATATTATCCAAGCTCCCACGAACTCAATGCAGCTCCCAAAAGCGATAGATTTGCCACCGCTTGTCCGTTCGGATCTGGTAGCGCAGCCGTTTCAGAGCTCTGTGGGAGATTTTGACCTAGTGGTTTTTTTCCTGCTCTCTCCTATGCACTCTACAGTGGCGGTGGAGCGGTACGGCTGTCTTGGGGGACAATTACCTGCGCGGCGGTTTAAGGCCGGAATGGCCTGGTGGCCGGTTTTAGTCTTGAATTTGTATTCTGGAAAACGTTGGCACCACTGTGGAAAGGTGAATGGATAGGTCCGAGGTGGCATTAAACACTTGACATGAATTTGTCCCTTTGCTTGGATATACTTGATTAACTCGATGGGCCTACACTTCCTGCCAAGCATCGTCGCCGCACATAAATTCAGTATGCTCCATACGCATGCCATTAGCCACCTGAGTTGTGGCAGGCACGGGCTATCGTTGCATTTACATGCTTCAACCACGAAGACATGCCGGAACCGCGTTGTCAGATCCTAATTTTTCTTCCTCACCACCCGCTAGCTCCTACGACAAAGAAGGCAAAAAGATGCGAACGAAGTTTGATCATCGATCGAACATGCGCCTCCTTCGGTACTCAACCTATACTTTATGCTAACGACCTTTGTTGCAAAGTCATGACCTTGGGAGACTCGAGCCACATGACATGCACGCCACTGGATGCTGCCCGATGAAATGGCTTCCGGAACCTTCTCCGCACCGCCATGCCAAACCGTGCCGTACCGGCGCGGGTGAGACAGCCGGGCGAGACTTGCATACGACGCCGTTGCGAACGCCAGCGTGAAGGTCTTGCTTTCTTCGTTGGCCATGGCTGTCTCTGGAATCATAACAAAGATAGAGTCAGTCAGATTGAAGCAGGATGAGGTAGCATGCCAGAATTTCTGGTCTCCGTTGGTTACTCGAAGGGGTCACACGCAAATTGAGGGAAGGATAAAAGCCAGCCCGCTCTATCTTCAACACTCGTCCCTACACCGGAACAATCTAAAGATCATTGTACCAGTAACCCTCGATCTAGCATCAACAGGTGATTTGATACACGAGAAAATCCCAATCCTAAGTCCTCACCATGCCGAAGAACCGTCACTGGTATATCGCCACAGCCTCTTCTGCAACCCTTCAGATGTCGCTAACGTCTTCCCTAGCCTCACGGGAACTAGGCACGTCCTGAAAGCCCGCTGTTACCAGCTCCGCCATGTGGTGAGGTGCAGCAAGCATCCTCAAGTCGCGCACCGCCCCAGCGAAGAATGCCAGTGCTGCAGACGAAGACGCCGAATGGGATAGGCATGGAGAGTAGTGGGAGCCCCTGGATATCGATCGGTACTTCTTTTCCGGTTCGTTGACACGAAGAACAACCTGCTGACTGAGTAGAGACGCAGGTGTCCAATACGGAGATCGGATTCCTTCAAGTTCTCGTCTAAAGGGCTTCCTCGACAATCCTCGTCAACCAAGGCATCGTCAACGGCAACACCAATATACCTAGCTTCCATTAGTCGAAATTCTATAACCGTCGGAGTAACTCGCAAGGTCCCAGATAATAGCTGACGCTTATCTGAACGGTAGCGGTGCCAATGTTCCTCACGCCCAATGTTCATCTTTTTCCCGTGCACTATTGTCGCAATATAACAACTCATGATCATAGTCTGGCGCAAGGTCACCTTTCTCTTATTTAGCACGTGCGCCGGGCATCGCCGCCATTTCTTTCCTCTCATCCATCTACAAAAGCCAGCTCGCCACCCACCCACCCCCTGTCGCAGTCATCTATCCCTGTAAGAAACCTGTCTGTCCGTAAAGCCAATCATACCTCGGCACTTCCTCTCACAATAGCCCATATGCCTGCTTGCCTGCACCCCGGCCTTGACTTCCTCCTTCTTCGCGCGATACGTACAACGCCCATTCGTTGATAGTCAGCGAGTTAATCATGTGACAGTACGGTACAATGTGGTGTCAACGTACGCTGCAGACCGGGTGTTGAAAACCTTTCGAGTGTCTGTCCATCAAGAAAAGCTCCGCTCCCGTTCGTGGTCTAAGCTCTTGGAGACGGCTCGCTCCGGCCCTTCACGAGGTCAGGTCAGTCGGACTTTATGCGTGCATTGTACCAGCTCTGTGGATATAGAATGCTGCTCATGCTATGCAAAGAGAGAACGAGAGAGAGGGGGAGGCCGGGTAAGGAAGTAGGGCAGCATGCGAAGTGTAGGTAGTGTGCACCCTAACCTGCGTCGTGTGGAAGAGATCGTATCGGACACCGGAAGGAAAGTATGGCGGACGGGACTTTGTGTGCTTCGGTCACGAGTCTAGAAAAGACGGGCGGAAATGCTCGGCAACTATATTAGTTACGGCCATCGAGCACTTGATTGCGTATCGTCAGTAGGCGCAGCGACGCGCTGTAGCTACCTGACGTAGCATATGCAGTCATGCGCAGCTGCCACCAGGACGCCGAATCCTACGCTATGCACGACGATCCGTAGTAGTACATGTATTTGCATAAATGAAGACCTAGTAGTGGTCGGATACGAAGAATGTCTTTTCCGGTGAAGGGCGGTGTTCTTGCCCGGCCCAGGCCAAAACACTCACGACCAATCGGGGCAAAGCGGTTCGATCTGCAGTGTAAGAGCTTAGTATCCGAGCCGGTCGATCCCTTATCCCCGGCCAGCCGCGCCACTAGAACCCATGCGCAGCACACCTCATAACCCGCGGCTTCGGCTTGCTGATTTGTGAGAGCAGGGAGCCGGTGCGGGGTGTTTCATCCGGCCCTTAGGGCTGTGGGCTCCTCCTGCTAATCCACCAATCGACGGCAGGTCAATCAGCGCAACGGTCGCATAAGAGAGTTTCCCCAAATCAGAGATGTGGGGAGACGTTGGTGGTAAGCTTTGATGGACGAATGAAGGGATCCGATTCGCGCGCGGGTTAACTGGCAAAATCCTTCCAAATTATGCAGCTTGTCGAATCGAGAAACTTTTGCAAGTATCTGGGCTACTGCCGGGCCCCTCGGCTACAGGCCCTCCTACCGCGCGACTTCAGCATCTGTATATTAAGCTGCGGGGTCGCTGTCAGGATCCCGAATCCAGCTCCTCAGACTTCTCCCACCTTCACACATCATCTCCATATCCCCAACGCCGTTCGCCATGGCGACTCATGATATCATTTCGTCTCTGAGCCTCCCGAACATCAATCTCTGGGAGGTTGTCTCAGCGGCGCTGCTCTTGTCTGCCGCCTACACTGCATACATTGCCTTCGACTCGCAGCGCCCCTATCCGAACATTCCGCTCGTCGGCGGCGAGGGTGGCGCGTCGGCGAGCAAGACGCGCTTTGCCCGCGATGCGTTGGGTGTGTTGCAGGGTGCCTGGGACCAGGTATGCCGGACCCGCGGGCCTGGAGAAGAGTGGAGCAAGCTGACGCAATGCGTAGAGCAAGGACAAGGTTTGCCAGATTTTTGCCGATTCTGGACCGAGAATACTATTGCCGCCGAGGTTTGTGGACGAGATCAGAAACGAGTCGAACTTGAGCTTTACCGAGTTCATAAGACGGGTGCGTATCCAACTCGTGCGTTTGCGCGTGTAAGGTGAGCGATGTGGGCTGATATGAGAAATGTCGCCGGTAGGAATTTCTGAGTGACTACCAAGCGTTTGGGGGCATACATGGTCTTTTCAGAGACAGCGTTTTCCAAGAGACGGTCAGGATCAAGTTGACCCAAGCCCTCCGTTAGTTTGCTCCCGGAGAAAGATGTGCTCCCACCCGGCATGTTCTGACGATTTTGTACAGCAAGGCTTACAGTGGGGCTCTCCAACGAGGCCAAGTTGTCGCTGGACGAGCTGTTCCCTGCCACTGACGGTAAGGCGCTTTCCCAGGAACAAGAAACAGCCTCTTCTCCACAGCTACCACGGCATACTAACGCATCACCACTCCATAGAATGGACCGTCACAAAAGATCCCCTCTACACAACCGTCGTCCGCCTTGTCTCTCGCCTCTCTGCTTTCGCTTTCCTCGGTGTGCCCCTCTGCCGCAATGAGACCTGGCTACACATCTCCGCGCAGTACACTGTCGACTTCATGACTGCCGCCGTCGCCATTCGCCGCTGGCCACGCGTCCTCCGGCCCCTCGTCTACCTCTTCCACCCCATCCTAGTGCCGGAGATTGGAGCACTGAAGAAAAGCCAGAGAGAGGCGTACGGCATCATTGAACCAGAGGTGAACAGGAGGCGGCTTGAAAGGAAGAAAGCAGAGAAGAAGGGCGGGGGCAAGGTCGAGAAGCCGCTGGACTCTCTTCAGTGGCTCGACGAGGTTGCGGCGGCAAAAGGGAGCAATGTGGACACGGTGTTGGGGCAGCTGGCTCTGACGATGGCGGCAATTCATACGACGAGCGCGGCGCTGACGAACGTCATGTTCGACATCGTTGCCGTGCCTGGCCTTGCGGACGAGCTGCGTGAGGAGATCGTCAGTGTGATGGGAGACGCTGGGGGCGAGGCGGGAACACCGTGGCAGAAGACGACGCTGTACAAGCTGCGTCTGCTGGACTCGGTCATGAAGGAGAGCCAGCGCTTCAATCCCCCAAGCGTCATCTCCATGAAGCGTGTCGCCCTAGCCCCGCACACGCTGTCAGACGGGACGTACGTGCCGCGCGGTGCAAGTCTCGGAGTACCTGTGCTGGCCATGATGGATCCGGAACGGTACCCCAACCCGGAAACGTTCGAACCTCGTCGCTTCGCCAATCTGAGGCAACAGCCCGGGCAGGAGAATGGGTGGCAGTATGTCACGACGAGTCTGGACATGTTTGCATTCGGACACGGCACCCATGCATGCCCAGGGCGGTTCTTTGCGAGCAACGAGATTAAGATTGCGCTTGTGCATATGCTGATGGGGTGGGAGTGGGCGTTTGAGGAAGAAGGGGCGAAGCGGCCGAAGACGAGGATGAGGGCTGATCAGATGTTACCGGATGGTGGGGTCAGGATGTTGTGTAAGAAGAGGGTGCCAGAGGTCATGCTATGAGGGAACTGGTGTCACATAGTAGTGTAACGGCCAGTCCTTTTAATAATATGTTGTTTCCACAAACCCGGCTGTGTTCCCCGCCCGCCACCCGGCTGACGTCAGCCCGGCTTGCCCAAGCGCCTTTTAGCTTCAGGACCTAGTGTCGATCTATCTTCCCCTCGCCATCTGCTTTCCCAAATGCTGCCCGACGTCCGCCGCGATGGCTGACAAGCTTACTCGGAAGCTCAGGAGACGGGTGGCCTGCGCCGCGCAGAGTAGCCCGCCTCCCACTCTTCTTATATTACTCCCCCGACGTCTCCGCCGAGCGTAACCTCGAGATGCGACAACAGTATCTACCTCCATGGCTTGACTGCCGTGCCTGAGCGTCCAACCGTCGTGCCGCTGCCGATTGTGCGTTTATACAAACTGTCGCCCCCGTGGTTGCTCTGGCCTGCACCTTTTCGCCCTGTCTGGATTTCCTTCGTCATGCTGGCATTATCTCGCGCAGCCCTCGCTAGTTTCGCTCTAACCGTGTTTGTCTCTCCGGCTACGGCACTGTTCAACGCTCCGCCCGGCGTCGATATATGGTGCGGCAAGGCATACCGAGCTACGTAAGTGAGCCTCTTTGATGCGCCGTGGATGGCGGTCCTGTTGATGTTCCACGATAGCAATGCTAGCTTTGAGCCGGGCGGCTGGCTTGGGGAGCCCCCGCGCTCGGCCGAGCCGCTGCTGAACGTGCAGGTCTACCCCCGCATGAACCTATACACCGAGGACGACCAATTCGCCTCGTTTATAGTCGATGCGGCTCTCTCCCATACAAACGGAGAAGCGATCTACCCTAGCACCTTCGACAAATCCACCAACGCCACCACGCCCTTCTCCCACCTGTACATTGACATTTCCGTCTCCGACAATGGATTGGCTCTGGTCTCGAACAGCAATGTGTCGATCAACTCTACCGGCAACGAATTCAGCTTTTCGCTGGGTAAGCTCAAGGCGCAATACGACCCGTACAACATCACCCTCGTTAGCGCCTCTCGCGACGGCAATCAGTCGTACCTGGCAACTACGCAGCTGTACAAGCTGCCCGCCCGGACCGATGGCGGCAGCGTAGCAAAGCTGGACAAACTGTACGGCGGCATCTACACCCAGGACTACCTGACCAACAGCACCGCCTGGACTGCCATCATGCCGTATTCTTTCTACGTCTCCTGGGACGGCTGGCTCGAAAACTCGCTTGTGAACAATACGCATACTTTCAAAAACTATGGCTACAACATCATCCACGTCGTGCCCAATGCCGGCCTGGCCAACCAGGCCTTCAATTTCACCGAGTTCGACGCGTTCCTCGACATCTGCGACGAGCTGCAGCTATGGGTCATGTACGACATGCGGTGGACGTACAAGAACCTGACCTCAGTAACGGAACAAGTCAACCGGGTCAAGAGCCGCAAGAGCCTGCTGCTCTGGTACACAGGCGACGAGCCGGACGGGGCGTCGGACACGCTCAACGCAACCAAAGACACATACGACACGATCAAGCAGCTAGACCCATACCACCCGGTGTCGCTGTGCCTCAACTGCTACAACTTCCACTACGCCAACTACTCCGCCGGCGCCGACATCATCCTCTCGGACGTGTACCCCATCGCCGTCAACACGTCCTTCTCGACGCAGTACGGCACCGCGTGCAACACGACCTACGGCTGCTGCGGCTGCGACGACTGCGCCGGCGACTTCGAGGACGTCTCGGACCGCCTCGACGTCTTCCGCCAGTACCAGTCCTGGCTGGGGCAGGAGCCCAAGGCCTTTTGGGGCGTGCCGCAGGCCTTTGGCAACGAGACGTTTTGGTCGCGGTATCCGACGGCTGACGAGGAGGCCGTCATGGCTGCGCTGTCGGTCAACCACGGCGCCAAGGGCATCGTTGGCTGGGCCTGGCCCACGCAGCCGCACCTTGCCGATGTGACGTCGGGCTTGGCTAGGGTGCTGGCCGCGGGCGACGTGGCTGAGTGTTTGCTTGGCGCGAAGACGACGGCCCTTGGGGTGGAGGGAAGGGACCGCGTCGATGCCGCTGCGTGGGTGCTGCCCGGTGCGGATAAGATGCTGGTGTCGATTGTCAGTCTGGAGTATGTTGAGACGTCGGAGAATGTCACGGTCAAGCTGCCGGCCTTGGCAAGTGGGGTTAAGAGTGTGGAGTGGGGTCCAGGCGAATGGACGGTGAGCGGGAGCACACTGTGGAAGAAGGGGATGACGGGGCTAGAGGTGGATCTGTTAGTTCTCGATCTAGAGTAGGGAGATTGGAGATACAAAAAGAGTAGGAGTTTAAGGTGTCTAGATATGCAAGTAACTGGTCCGGGGTTAATGTTGTGGAAGTGATATGGCGGGAAATCCACTCAAACGCGTCTCCCCAAACGCTGAAAGGCTGGGGCGAGTGTCTGAGGAAGTGAATGGGTGTTGTATTGAGCTACCCAAGAGAAAGCACTAAATACCCCCCTTGGTTATCGCGGCTTCGAACAACGCGTCGCGACACCGAAGAACGCTCGTTCTTTTCCCATCACCAAACACCTGTACTCGCATGCCCACTTGGTGTCTTCATAGACGCATCAAACCAACTACCAAACCTACAAACCTACCAGGCGGCCAGAACAGGGCTAACGCCTCTATCCCGCAAACGGAAGGTATCCCCTCGTTACAGAAGAACAGCCTGGGCGAGTGACAGCCAAGTGATCCCTCCGCACGCAGCCAGGAAGCAAACATTTGCACTTGCGAAACCAGCAAAAATACGGGCTGTCGCTCGACGCTATAGTAATAGAATGCTTGTCGAATGGTATGCTAAAAGTTGGAAGCTGTCGTGCGGCTATTTCTACGGCATGCCATCCAGAGTCCGAGGAGGAAAGACCATTCATGGTGTTGGACATCACGTATATTCAAAAAAGTTGAGCCTCATCGCCATCATCAACCCAATAGGGCAATCTTCAGCAACGTGTTATCTTATATAACACCATTGTTGGGTGCCCTTTCTTTTGTTCACATATATACACCACCCGTAGTAGCGGTGTATAATGAGATATCCAGTCAACCAGCTTCTTCTTGCACCCGGCTGTGACCACCGCCTGACACATGGCCACTACACCCTTTCTGTGGGGAGTTCTGTCGGAAGAACCAGATAAAGAGGTTCACTGTGAATTTTCTGCTGGTGCAGTGAAGTTCGCACAGCAGTCTATGGGCTTTGACGCTTGGACAGAAACACCAAAAGCTCGCTTGAATGACCTTGACTTGTCTGAACATCTCATCCATCAGCGACCGTCGCTGGCCCCAATGATCAAGCTTTCGGCCCGGGTGCGCTTCCCCCGAGAGTTGTACGAGTCCTACTACTATGGGCCGAACATGCAGCTGATAGTCTACTGGATTCAGGAGACTTTCAAGCACCCGTGGATATCTTGTTTAGAATCGTGTATCACGGATCAAGCAAGCCAGACCTGGAACGCTATCAGAGAAGAAAATATGGAAGTGCCTATTACACAGATACCTCATGCCATCGAACTTTGAACAGATACCCCATTACCCTCTCACAAAGATCCTTCCGGCACTCAGCCTGATCATCATTACTCAGGGCATGAGAAGCATTCGGTATGATGCCACTGAATTCCTCATCCCAAATCTCGGCCTCCCCATCATGATCAGTCGCCTTCTTCCACCTCGCCATCAACTTCTCCTTATCCACCCAATCCGGCACGGCCTGGTCCGCCCCGGAAACCAACACCATCAGCCCATACCCCGACAGCTGCCTCTCCCTCACCATCCCAAACGTCTTCTTCAACTGCTCGTCGCCCAAATCCGAGCTGAACAAATCGTCCTCCCGCGGCGCCTGCGGGCTCTCCGGGCTCACGAGACTCAGGAAGCGCCGCGCGGAGAGCGGCGTGTTCTGGTAGCCAATGGCGGACGTCTTTTCCAGCGGCAGCAAAAAGTCGCACGCCTGGTCGTCCTTGGTCGCCTCCTCGGCGATGGCGACGAGCTCGTCGAAGACGCGGCGGGTCTGCGCGGGCGTCTTGCCCAGCCAGCCGTGGTGCACGACCAGCTGCATGGCCTCGCGGTCGGACACGGGGGCCTGCATGATGGCGCCGTCGAGGGCGGGCCGGCGGACGTGCTGGAGGTCGGGGTCGAAGGCCGGGGCGGCGGCGGCGTGCGGGTTCGGGCGCGAGAGGTAGTGCAGCACGTGCTGGCTGCCGGTCGAGTGGCCCATCAGGACGAGCTTGCCGGCGACGCCGCCGTGCTTGGACGCCTTGTAGTCCCTGACGTAGTTGAGGCACTGGGCGATCTCGTCGGTGTCGCGGTCGAGGTGGCCGAGGCCCCAGGACTGGTGCGAGGACGAGATGTTGACGGTGAAGATGGACCAGTCGGTGGGGTGCAGGGCGCGCACCAGGTCGGCCATGTACGAGGTCGAGCCGAGGCCCTCGCCCAGGCCGCCGATGAAGACCAGGCTGTGGGGTTTGCGGATGGTGCTGGAGGTGAATTCGAAGGTCACGAGGCTTTCGGTCTGCGCGTCGGTCAGCTCGGGGGTTGGGGGGCGCAGAGGGCGAGCGTGAAGCGGCGTACGTAATGATGGAGAATGCCGGGCAGACCGCCCTTGGGCCAGAATTTGGAGTACATGCTTCGTGGAGAGTGCAACCGGGAGAAGCGAGGATGTTACAGTAGCATAGAGCGGATGGAGAAGGGAGCAATTTTACATGATGGCACACGAGGTTGGTTTTCCGCAGATCCAAAGTCCAAACCGCAGTCGGACACGGGGTTCCGAGGCTGAGAAGCGGTAGCGGAAGGTCCACCCAGAGAGCGGATAGCACAAGGTCGGCATGTTGCATGACGGCAGCTCCACTTGAGCGTCTCGCTGGGCCGGGTCCGGGGGCGTCGGGGGGGCGCTCAGAGTCATCGGCTAGCCGGGTGGTTTGGGGCCTAGACGCCGGCAGCTGCCGCTATCAGATCCGCTTTTAGTCGCGCGTCCCGGACATTGCCGATATCTGATCCGCTAGCCGGGGTGCAAGGCTTCTAAACATACTTCGATGCCCTGTGGCCCCTCGCGGGAAAATCCTGCACGCTTGGCAGAGAGACGGTGTGCCCGCCTTGCCGCCTTCTCTGCTGGGACTGGTGAGCGAAAATCTCTCCAAAGCGGGGCCTTTTCAGCCGCGCGGACGATCGCAGGAGCCAAGATGCACGAATCTGATAAGATTTCGAGAACGTAACGCCAAGCTCGCTAACACGCGTACATCATGCACGCCAAACTGCACCCCTGCCTCTCTACGCACCTACGCCATGCCGTCTCTAGACTCAATACGGCGAACACGACTCCAAACCACCCAGCTCTCGTGCCCCACTCCAGCGGGAAACCAAAGACAACCCTCCAAACCACCCTGGTCCTGGTCCCTGCGTCGTATTCCGCAAGCACAAGCCACAGCCTAGAACAGGACACCCTTGGTCTGCTGCTTGGTGACCTTCAAGTCCTTGACCAGGAACATCCACCCGAGAGAAAGCGCCATGATGGCGGTACCGGCGATCAGCATCTTGCTCTGCGCCTCGGCATAGGCCAGGTTGATGGCATGTCGGGTCTCGGTCCCTCTTGGGTAGCTCAGCTGGACGTCGAGCGAGTCGTAGATTTCCTGCCAGTCGGCCTTTGCCGAGTCGGGCAGCAGCCGCTTCAGCGCCGCCGGCAGCGTGTGCGTCCAGATGGCTCCAGAAATGCTGCTCCCCACCGCACCTCCCATGTTGCCGAAGACGTTCAGGAACGCCAGGGCCGAGGCCGCGTTGTTGTGGTCCGACACGGCCAGGACCGCCACCTGCTGCACGATGATCATGGTGCCGCCCGCGAACGCAATCATCACCTGGCACATGATGTTGTACCCCACCGACCAGTGCGGCTGCCGGAAGTAAATCATCAGCCCCTCACCGAGGATGTAGAGCGGCACCGACCACAGCAGCAGCCACCGGAACCGGCCAGTCTTCTTGATGCACAAACCCACGCCCAGCAGCCAGACTCCGGACACGACGTCGAAGATGCTGCCGATGTAGCCCGCAGTCTCGATGCTGACGCCATAGACCACCTGCAGGTAAGACGTCCAGTAGTCGTTCCAGCAGTAGTACGCAATCTGGTAGGTGGCGTCGACGAGACAGGCGCCGAGCACCGTCCGCGTGGCCAGCATCTCCCACGGCAGGAACGGCACCGGCGCAACCCAGTGCTCGACCGCGGCGAAGGCGAGCAGGCACGCGATGCCGACGACCAGCATGACGATCATCGACGCCGTCTTCCAGTCGCTCTCGGTCGAGCCCGCGATGGTGAAGGGCAGCAGGAACAGCACCAGCCCCGCCGTCAGCAGAATGACGCCCAGCACTGCAAAAAGCCGTCGGTCAGCAAACACTCACACCCGCAAAAAGCTGTTGCGGACAACGGGACACACTCACGGTCAAACTCGATGACGTAGTGCCGGATGCTCTGCACGAGGGTGCGGCCGCTGCGCTCCTTCTCGCGCAGCAGGCCCCGCTTCTTGGCCAGGTGCCGGTTGTACCGCAGCAGGATGAACAGCGGCGCGGCCACGACGGGCAGGATGATGGTGAAGATGCCGTAGCCCCACCGCCAGTTCGTCTGCACAAAGTGCGCCGCCGCCGCCGGCCCGGCGTACGCGGTGATGATGAAGGGCGACGAAGTGAAGGCGTACGCGAGGCCTCGATCGCGCAGCGTCGACGTGTCGGCCGTGATGACGTCGACGCAGAAGATCAACCCGGCGAATCCGATGCTGTAGAAGACCTGTGGCGTGCATGTCAGTTACTCGGTTTGGAAGGCGGTAAGAAGAGGGTTGGCTTACTTGGCCGGCGCAGTACGTGGCGATGTCGTAGCACGTCGCGCACAGGATCAAGCCGATCGTGGCAAAGACGACCATCAGGGCGAAGCCGATTGAACGGTCCCAGAGGTTGAGAATCTTGGCCACGGGCATGTATGTCGCTGCCGACATGACGCTGGACACGATGGCGATGACGGGGATCAACGAATGAGATTCGAAGTCGCTGGTGATGTAGGCCGACGCGTTGGCCGTGATCTGGGATTGCCATGCGTTGACGAAGTACAAGCACCACATGCTGTTTCGTGTGTTGTTAGTTGGCCATTCTTCTCGTCGTGTCTGTTTCTCTTTTTTTCCTCCTCCTTGTCAGGGCGTCAGGCTGGGTGGGGGACTTGCAGGATGTAGGCAGCGCCCAACGACGTCTTGGTCCACACCAAGGTGATGGCTTCAGCCTGAGTGACTCCATCCTGGGCGTGCTCGTTGGGTTGCTGCTCCTCAACGGGGGACGGAGTGATGGCTGCTTCGGCAGGAGCTTTGGAGTCTGGCTCGGCAGACCCTTCTGCGATGGTGCTGGCATCGTGAGAGCTTCCCTCTGGCGAGGTTGGCTCTGGTTTCGGGAGAAACAGCTTCCGCAGCGCCGAGGCCATGTTTGGGTGCAGTGGTCGGATAGAGGGGTGACAGACTGGGCATGTGAATGCCAGCGATGCCTTGTTTACATCTTTAAGAGCCTATGCGGCAGATCGGATCATTCCCCGTCCTGGGATTAGAGCGCTAGCAGAGCAAGAGGATCAGAGAACGGCCGATAAAGGACGCGTGTGGTACGATTCACGCTTGCGCGGTGGCGTCTAAGCGAAGACGGCGGCCCGCCTCGGCCAACAAATTAAGTCCGAGAAACGGTGGCTTGAATGCCACCCTAAGCAGGCTCAGGCGACTGATCCGCTTTCGTGGCAACCACCCGCGGGGAACAATTTTGATCTGATAAGATTTGTCATGCATTCGCGGCACCCGGCCCACAAAAGGGCGCTCCATTATCGGCCCCCGAGGGCGTTGCTCACATGCAGTACAAAATCTGCTCCGGTAACTGCCCTAGATCCATCGGTCTCCAGAGCCTCGCAGTTCGATTCGTCTTTCGTTAGCGAAAGCGCCACAGTGCGCGTTTGACAGACGACCGGTAAATTGGCCCCTCTTCAATGCTATTGCTTCGGACCGCTGACGACTCTCGACAGGGGTCGCAACCAGACTCGACATGAAGGCCGTTCAGAAACTCGCGGGCTACCCCCGCTTGCTGCTGGCGGGCAGCCCTTCGAAAGCCGACCTGGGCACCCTTCTGCTGGGCATTGTTGCTGCCATAGCATCCGGCGTGCCGTTCCCGCTGATTGGCATCTTGTTTGGCCAGCTGCTCGACGACTTCAACGGAGCAACGTGCAATGAACAGGACGATTCCGAGTCTGGGGCCGGATACCAGTCCAGCATCAACAGCAAGATCCTAATCATTGTTTACCTAGCCATTGCCCAGTTCGTCTTGATCTATACTCACCTCTTCTGCTGGAGTCTCAACGGCGCCCGACTGGCCCAAAGGCTGAGGGAGAACTATCTCCAAAACCTGCTGCGCCAGGAGCCGTCCTTTTTCGATGACCTCCCACCCGGCGAGGTCGCCTCTCGCCTCCACGGCGACATCCAGACGATCCGCTCGGGCACGTCGGAAAAGGTTGGGATATGCCTGTCCAGCGTGTCCTTCTTCGTCACGGCGTACATTGTGGCTTTCATCAAGAATGACAAGCTGGCAGGGATGCTGGTCTCTTTAGTCCCAGCCTATTTCATCATGTCCTTCGTTGGAAGCCATTATATCGAGAAGTATTCTGGGCTCATGTCCGACTATGCCGCTTCTGCTGCGTCCATTGCTTCTGAAGCCCTCTCAAACATTGTCGTGGTCCAGGCGTTTGGTGCCAATGCCAGACTGGAGAAAAAGTTTTCCACGGCACTCAAGGCTTCCGAGAAGGAGGGCGTCAAGAAGGCCACGGCTACTGGCATCCAAGCCGGTGTCTTGTATTTCGTCGCCTATTCCGCAAACGGTCTGGCTTTCTGGCAAGGAAGCAAGGACATTGCAGAATCTGTGAACAATCCCTCTGGTGGCGCTACCGTGGGTGCCACGTTCACCGTCATTTTCATTTTGATTGAAGGTAAGTCGGCCTGAAAGTATATCTCTCATAGAGTCTCCACTGACGTAGGATAATCTAGCCACCTTGCTCCTGAGTCAGGTTGCACCCTTTATCCACCTGTTCTCAGCAGCCGTCGCCTCGTTCCAAAAGCTACGTGGGGACATGGAACGTGAGCCGTTGATCGATGGCATGAAATCATCGGGTCTTGCTCTCCCAGAAGCAGGGGCCGGATTCGAGTTCAACAACGTGTCATTCACCTATCCCTCCAGGCCTGAAATCACCGTTCTCGACAACATCAGCTTTTCTATCCCTCCCAAGAAGCATACAGCCCTTGTCGGACTTTCTGGAAGTGGGAAATCGACCATTGCAGGTCTAGTCACACGGCTGTACAATCCCACGCACGGGCAAATCCTCTTCGACAACCGGGATGTTCGAGAGCTCAACGCCCGTGATTTGAGAGGCTTCCTGGGCCTGGTACAGCAGGAGCCCTCTCTCCTCGACCGTTCGCTTCTGGAAAACATCGCACATGGCTTGATCAACTCAAGCAATCCCAGCCATGCGCATCTGAAAACCATCCTTCTTGGTCCTGATCTTTCAAATTTGGCGAGTGAAGTCAGGGAGGGTACCGAGCTCATGGCTGCGGCTGAGAAACGGGGCCCTGCTTTCGTCGAGATTGTGAATTTGGTAAAAACCGCCGCCACGCTCGCAGATGCGGATGGCTTCATCTCGGCCCTCCAGTACGGATATGGCACGACGGCGGGATCGAGCGGGCGGCTGATCAGCGGTGGTCAGAAGCAACGAGTGGCCCTCGCTCGAGCCCTGGTCAAGGATCCTCCGGTTCTCATCCTGGATGAGGCAACGGCGTCTCTGGACTCCAGAAGTGAAGAGCGTATCCAGCGTGCCATCTCGAACATCACCGACGGCCGGACCATCATCACCATCGCTCATCGACTGTCGACCATCACCAGCGCGGACAACATCATCGTCATGCACAGAGGGAAGATCTTGGAGCAAGGAACTCATTCGGAACTGATTGCCAACCACGGCTCATACGCCGAGATGGTCAAACTTCAGTCTCTCGCACCGGCACCCGAACAGACTGACATTCGCAAGGCCATCAAATCGGGTCAACTCCCTACGGCAGGTGGTGACATCGAGAAGACGAGCCAGTCCGAGGACGGAATCGAGGATGCCGAAAAACCTCAATTCTCGACAAGTGAAGATGCAGTCGCCGCCGACTCAGCAAAAGACCCGGAAGAGCCTGAGACGCCCAACAAGTCTCTGTGGGCGCTGGTGCGGGGCTATGCACCGGCCATTCGACCTCACTCGCTCACCATTGCTGCCGCCCTTTTGGGATCCATCGTTGTCGGTGGAGCCTTTTCCGGCGAGGCGGTGATTTTCGGCAACACGGTGGGAAGTCTCAGCCTCTGCCACACGGCAGCAAGCATTCGGGACCGCGGCGACTTCTACGGGCTCATGTTCTTCGTGCTTGCCATCATCGAGTTTTTTGCAAACATCTTCAGTTGGGCCGGCTTCGGTTGGGTTTCTGAACATGTCGTCTACACCGTCAGGGTGTTGTCTTTCCGCTCGTTGTTCGAGCAAGACCTCCAGTGGCACCAATCGGAAGGCCGGTCCCCTGCGCTGCTCCTTGCATACATCACCAGAGACGGCAATGCCCTGGCAGGCTTCAGCGGGTCGGTCATCGGCACGTTGTTCTCCATCACGGTCAACCTCTTTGCAGCAATCATCCTGACTCACATCATTGCCTGGAGGATCGCACTGGTCTGCCTCGCTTTGGTACCACTCCTGCTGGGGGCCGGCCTGATGGAACTCCGCGTGCTCGGCAAATTCGAAGAACGCCACGAGAACGCATACACGCAGTCCGTCGACATCGGCGTCGAAGCCGTAACGTCCATCAAGACGATCGCGTCGTACTCGCTCGAAGACGAGACCCTCTCCACCTACCGGCGCTCGCTCAACGGGCCCCGCAAAGAAACGCTCGCCGTCACCGTCCAAGCCAGCTTCTGGCAAGCCATGACCTACTTCTTCGGCAACCTCGTCAACGCCCTCGCCTACTGGTGGGGCGCCAAGCAGATCATCGCGGGCAACTACACCCAGACGCAATTCATGATCGTCGTCTTCTCCCTCCTCGTCAGCGCCCTCCTCTGGAGCCAAATGTTCGCCCTCGCGCCCGAGCTCTCCAACGCCCGCGCCGCCATGGCCCGCATCCTCTCCCTCATCCAGCTCGGCTCCGGCAAAATGCAAGGCCACGTCCACCCGCCCTCGCCCTGCACCCCGCACGCCCTCGAATCCGCCGCCGAAAAAGAAGAAGACACCACCACCACCATCCCCCCCTCCTCCCCATCCTCCAGCCTCGCCCTCAACGACATCCACTTCTCCTACCCCGCGCGCCCGGACGTCCCCGTCCTCCGCGGCCTCTCGCTCTCCATCGCCCCCGGCCAATTCTGCGCGCTCGTCGGGCCGTCCGGCGCGGGCAAATCCACCATCATCTCCCTCATCGAACGCATGTACGCGCCGAGCTCGGGCAGCGTGCACATCGACGGGCGCGACATCGCCGGGCGCAGCGTCGCGTTCCGGGACACGATCGCGCTGGTGCCGCAGGAGTCGGTGCTGTTCGACGGGACGGTGGCGTTCAACGTGGGGCTGGGCGCGGCGCCGGGGAGGGGGGAGGATGGGGCGAGCGCGGCCGAGGTGGAGGAGGCGTGCAGGTTGGCGAATGTGCACGACGTGGTGGCGGGGTTGCCCGAGGGGTACGGGACGCTGTGCGGGGCGGGGGGGAATCAGTTCTCGGGGGGGCAGAAGCAGCGGTTGTCGATTGCGAGGGCGTTGGTGAGGAGGCCGAGGCTGTTGATTTTGGATGAGTCGACGAGCGCGTTGGATGCGGAGTCGGAGCGGTTGTTGCAGGAGGGGTTGGATAGGGTGGCGGCGGGGGGGACGACGGTGATTGCGATTGCGCATCGGTTGCGGACGATTGTGAAGGCGGATGTGATTTTTTTGATTGAGGGGGGCAGGTGTGTGGATCGGGGGACGCATGAGGAGTTGTTGGAGAGGTCGGAGAGTTATAGGGCGAATGTCATGCATCAGACTGTGGCGGTTTGATGGGGTGGGAGCGTGGATGCGGGAAACAAAAAGTTTTGGCTGTTCTTTAGAGTATAGTAATAAGTTTATGGTTTTGTCTGTGATGAGTCTTGCAGACGTGGATACAATGATGTGGTTGTTTTACTCGCGTGGTGGGCAATTGGAAGGTCGACCCGGAAAGCGTCGGGTATGATGTGTGCGGAGGTCACTGGGAGCCAGCTGGGTCACCTGGATCGATACTCCCAGCTCGCTGGCAAATGACACTCACACAACCTATTGTTGATTTCTTGGACATTTGATTTCGTATGTCTCTGTCTATTACTGGCACGCTGCGTTGCGGCTTTGGGTGGTTCCGCGGTCCGACAAACAATTCATATTTACAAACGAACATTCCTAAAGCTTCGCATTCCAGGCCGCGCGGTCCGCCGACGCCAGCGGGCGTTCCTGGCCGTCCCAAAACACCGGACACAACTGAAACCACTTCTCTCTGCTGCAAATGGAGTGGACAGACCGCTTGTGCCCCAGGTCGACGTACTTGCCGATGACGAGCCCTTGGGAGTTTTCGTACGAGAGAATGGTCGAGCCGGTGGCTCGCGGCTCGCCGACGACGTTGGCGGTGCGCGGGTCGTCGAGGAAGCAGTAATGGATGCAGCTCGAGTACCACGCGTTGACCCGGCGGGCGCCGCGGAAGGATGCGTCGCCGACGAGGGAGTGGCGGCCGCGATCGTAGTCTTGGGCGTCGTAGTGGAAGCCGTAGTGATCTTCCTGCGACGGGGGTTAGCTGAGCCAATCGAGACGGGCAGCGGATTCCTTACTTTTGCCCAGTACAGCTCGTAGTAGGAGAAGCGGCTCTCGTCGAAGCGGCCAAACAAGCAGAGGACGTGCGGGTCTTCGTGCAGGCGGCGCAGATAGTCGCGGTGCTCGTCCAGGGTGCCCGTCTCGTTCCAGCCCTTCGCAACGCGCGGGTCGTTCTGCCACGTGTTGAACAGGCCCAAGTGATCGGGGTTCTGATAATCGACCACCTCCAGCGAAAAGTGCTCGTCGACCTCGGGGATGTAGCGACTGTAGACGATGGAGCCCGGGTGCGGCTTCGGGCGGCGCACCGGATGCCGCGCGTACACGGGCTCGTCGGGAAACTTCATGGATATCTCGTGGTTCTCGGGCATCAGCGGGTACGACGCCAGCGGGGCTCGCAGCGGCCCGTCGGTGCCTTCGCCCACGACCCAGATGGGGCGCGGCCCCGTGGGCGAGGCGGCGCCCTGCCAGAAGGAGCTCCGCAGCACCAGCAGCTCGTGCGGACGCGCGTTGCGGTCGTCGGCCGGCCGCCACGGCTTCGGATGCTCGACGGCCAGGCCGGTGGCGAGCAGCTCGCGGCGCACCACGTCTCTCTCGGCGCCGACCAGCGTGAGCCGGAAGGCGTCGCAGGTCGGGTGGGCGAGGTAGATGGCGTGCACCACGTTCCAGATCTGGCCCAGCGACGGCGCGCTGTCGCCCGCCCACTGGAAGGTCGTCTGCGGGTTCCGGCGCGCGCGGGCCCAGGCGCTGTTGTTGGTGGGCGGCGGGCGTTCGCTCTTGGGCTTGGTCGTCAGGTCGAGCCAGGAGAGCGAGTCGAGGTGCAGCGGTTGGTCGAGAGGCTGGGCCGCCGCGGGCTGCTGGTCGTCGAGGACGAGGGTGAGCACGGCTGGTGTCGTCTCGGCGATGGCTTGAACGCGGTAGGTGGTCAAGAACGGGTAGGGAAGCTTCACGGGCGGATATGAATGTGACGGGGTGGCGGCGGTGGGGGTCATGACGTCGGATTCGGAGCGCAGCGAGATGACGGTGAGGGAGTTGGATTCCTCGTAGAGCCTGGTGTCGACCTGGTTGTTTTCGATTGACATGTTGTTGGGAGGTCGGGGCGAGGTGGATCGACTGGGTACTGGCATCCCTGTTGCGGGAGAGACGGGCATGGTGCGGGCAGCGGGGCGGATGCTCGTACGCTATATAGGGCTGGTGGTGAGCGTCCCTTTCGACCACCTCTCAGGGCTTGTTGCCCAAAGCGGCAATCTTCAGAGGCGCGGTCAGGCGCGGTGCACGACGGCTAGATCCGATGGGTCATACGATTTGCGTATTCCCGATACCGCATCATCGTCGCGGCTTACCCCGCTGCGCAAGCGAAGCCCACGAAGCCTTTGCGCAAGCGAGGCCAAGTGCGGCCAAGGGTGCTTGACCGCGGGTCGTGCACTAGGTATAAAGGCTGATCTGATAAGATGGCACCCCGGCCGGGTGGGGCGTGGCGCTGGGCCCAGGCGGTGGCGCCCAGCTGACCGCCGCCTTGTCGTACTATGCCCGAGGCGCGCGTCGGCCGCCGAGTTGCTTTTCTTCCCATTATCAGATCATCTCCTCTAAACTCCGACGCCACCATCCAGACACGAATCCCGAGCAATCAGCCACCACAGTCACCGTCGTATGCGGTGGAGAAGCGTGGAGCTTAAAAGTCATGATATGATTCGATTGATAAGATTCTGCTCACAGCTTCGAGTTGACCCAGGTCGGCGCCCGTTTCTCCACAAACGCCTTGATGCCCTCGGCAAAATTGGGTCCCTCGACCAGGCGCGGGTACCACTGGTCTTCCAGCACCGACACTGCCTCCTCCACGCTGTCCGCTTCCCAGCTCAATCGGATCCCGAGCCGGCCGACAATCAGCGCGTCCGGACTGTTGGCGCACATGTCCTGCGCAAGCTGCACCGCCGCTTGCACCACGTCGGCGCCGTCGTCAACCACTTGACTGACCAGGCCCCACTCGTACAGTGTTTGGGCACTGACTTTCCTGCCCGTCAAGACGAGGTCCGAGGTGCGCTGCAGCCCCAGGGTCCGCGTCAGCCGCGGCAGACAGCCTGCCACAGGCACGATCCCACGCTTGCCCTCGGGCAGTGAAAAAACCGCCGACGACGAGGCCACCACGACGTCGCAGTTGGCCACCATCTCGAAGCCCCCACCCATTGTCATGCCGTTGACCGCGGCGATGATGGGTTTTTTGCCGCTCCGCCGCGGCAGCCCAGCAAGCCCGGGCGCCGCCATGTCGTTGACCACCCCGGCTTCGTTCATCGCGTTCCATTCTGCTTGCGTCAGTCAAGTCCGATGCAGGGTCGGCAGGTAATACCGTGCAGATCAGCTCCGGTGCAGAACGCCCGCCCAGAGCCTGTGATGATGCCAACCCATAGGCTTTCGTCTTGGTCGAATTCCTCCCAGATCTCCCTGATCTCGTTGCTTGTTGCCTTGTCGATGCAGTTGAGCTTGTCCGGTCGGTCCAACGTCACTTGGACCACCCGCTCGTGCGGAAAAGAGACATGGAAATGCCGGAACTGTAGCCGTCTCGATCTCAAAGCCATGGAGAGTAGAGTCACAATGTCGTGACTAATCACCTGCCCAACTCGCCCTCCCGCCTTTATATTTCTCTTTTCAAAGTACACGCGTTTAGTGCCACATCCTTCACGGACTTTCGCTACGTAATAAGCAACTGCCGCGAGGCCCATCGCACCCAGACCTTCATGTGGCTTGCGTTTCGACACGGGGTACTGACTAGCCGCTAACGAAGCCCGTCCGACTCTACCGGCCTTCTCCACCATTCATCTTGCCAGACCCTGCACGCGCCCTAAGGATGCGCAGACTCCACTAGCGTAGCTTCTAAAATTGCTCTGCCGTCCGTCCCACGTAGATCCACGCAGCCCTCGGACTCACATGCCACCGTGGGATTTTTTTTCCATGCGGCTCAATCCGTTCATCTAATCAGATTGCCCGACACGTCGTCTTATCAGTCTGTCGGAACCCATTGTGCTGCAGCTCCAAACCTAAAGCCCAGTCATTCGTTGAGAGCTCTGACTTGCGGCCGTACAGACGTCACCGCCTACATTAGTGAGGTAAGAGACAGCCACACCTTCCCCATGCCCGATCCACACTCACCGCTCCAGTCAGGTCGAGCCTGCGCAACGCTTCATTGGACTTGACCGAGTCAACTCTTCCCGCTCGTCCTGTACCAGGGCAACTGACGGCCGTCAGCATGGGCGATGCTCCTGTGTCGAACCGGTCTACTGACCTGCCGGCCGGCGTCATGGATTTCAAAACTTTCGACATCTCGGGTCTTGCCTCTGAACAGCACACGACTCCAACGGGCATGAGAGAAGACGTCGTGCTCTTGTCGTGGCTCATTGTCCTTCTGCGAACTCGGGAAGATAGCCGAGTCTCGTTTGACTGGACCTACCAATCTGCTTCTGAGCAAAAGGCCGAGAAAAGATGTTTATCCATGGACAATGTGATGACAGGATTGCAAGACCGCGTTGGGAAAGTCGCCGCCGCAATCTTTGATGACGTCGAGACCGTCGCACCGAGCCATCATGTCCCCGCGACGTCCAGTCCTGCCTCGCTCCTACTGAGCACCGGCTCCTTGTCCCAGACGTCTGAAGAACCCAAAGATGAAGTGAGTGAATGACTCGTTTCGGCAAGACCAGTCACATGACTAACTCTTCTGGGCAAAGGGTGTGCTTCACCTCGAAGTGGTCTTGGGCGATGGCCTGCTCGGCGTCCGTCCAGTGTGGCACACGGAAAACATGCTGCAATTCACAGTGGAACGACACGTTGACGTGCTGGTTGAGACGATGAGACTGTGCATCTCAAATCCCGATGCCTCGATTGAGGACTGCCTTCGGCCGACCGCACGGGACCTGGACGACATTTGGGGGTGGAACCACGAGCTACCTCCCACCTACGATTTTTGCATGCACGACATGATAGCCGAACGAGCACAGGCAGTGCCAGACAAAGTGGCAATCTCGTCCTGGGACGGCAGCTTGACATACGCCCAAATCGACCGGTACTCGACACGGACAGCGTGCTCCCTCAAAGAGGCGGGCGTGCAGCTGCACGACGTCGTACCGGCGTGCTTTGAGAAATCCAGATGGACCATCGTCGCCGTGCTCGCCATCATGAAAGCAGGAGCAACCTTCGCCCTCATGGACCCCACGCTCCCACTCGCCCGCCTGCAGAACATGGCGATCCAAGTGGGCGCCAAGACGATGCTGTCGTCTCGCATGCAGCACGAGCTGTCGACCTCGATCCTGCCGAGCGGGACGCACATCGTCGTCGAGGAGGACAGCTTCGCCCGCCTGTCGCCCTCCGACGCCCCCCCAACGCTGGACCCCGTCCCAGCATCAGCCCTCATGTACATCATCTTCACGTCCGGCAGCACCGGCACGCCGAAGGGCGTCACCATCTCCCACCGCACGTACACGAGCAGCGCCATCCCGCGGGCCAAGGCGGTCGGCTACGCGGCGGACTGGCGCGTGCTCGACTTCGCGTCGTACGCGTTCGACGTCAGCATCGACAGCATGCTGCTGACGACGGGCAACGGCGGCTGCCTCTGCATCCCGTCGGACGAGGACCGGCTCAACGACATCAACGGCGCGATGCGGGCCATGCGGGTCAACTACGCGGGCATCACGCCCTCGGTGGCGCGCATCCTCGAGCCCGACGTCATCGCCTCGCTGCACGGCCTGGGGCTCGGCGGAGAGGCGGCGTCGGCGCGGGACGTCGCGCTGTGGGGCCGCGAGACCAGAATCATCATCGGCTACGGGCCGTGCGAATGCACCATCGGGTGCACCGTCAACGCCGACACGGCGACGGGCAGGGACTACATCTCCATCGGCACCGGCAACGGGGCCGCCATCTGGATCGCCGACCCCAACGACCACGAGGCGCTTGTGCCGGTGGGTGCCGTCGGCGAGTTGCTCGTCGAGGGCCCGATTGTGGGACAGGGGTACTTGAACGACGCCGAGAAGACGGCAGCCGCCTTCATCGAAGACCCGAGCTGGCTCGTTGCCGGGCACGAGGGCTACGCTGGCCGTGGTGGCCGTCTGTACAAGACTGGAGACCTTGGTCGGTACGATCCCGACGGTTCTGGCGGCATCGTGTTTGCCGGCCGCAAAGACACGCAGGTCAAGCTGCGCGGGCAGCGGGTCGAGCTCGGCGAGATCGAGAGCCAGCTGCGAGCCAGGCTGCCTTCGGACACCAACGTCATTGCAGAGGTGATTGTTCCTCAGGGGACGGGTGGTCAACCCACGCTGGTGGCGTTCGTGGCATCCCAGGGCTACGCTGATGGTGAGCTCAGCTCGACGACACTCGCGGGGGAGATGCGCGAGCTGCTGTCCAAGGCCGACGCGGAGCTGGCCACGGTGGTGCCGCGCTACATGGTGCCCAACGCGTACATTCCCGTCAGCCACATCCCGGTGTTGATTTCGGGCAAGACGGACCGCAAGCGCCTCAGGGCGTTCGGCCAGACGGTCGACCTGCGGCAGCTGGATCACGGCGGCGCGACGAGCAGCAGCACCAGCCGGGAGCTGAATGACGTCGAGAAGCGGCTCCAGCAGGCGTGGGGCCAGGTCTTGAGCGTCGACGCAGACGGCATCCGGCCCGACGACAACCTCTTCGCCCTGGGCGGCGACTCGCTGGCGGCCATGAGACTGGTGTCGGTGTGCAGAGACGCGGGCCTCGACCTCTCCGTCATCGCCATCTTCGCGAACCCCACGCTCGCGGCCATGGCCCAAGTCGCCCGCGTCGTCAACGCGCAGGCCCGCACGGAGCTGGCCCCCTTCTCCATGATCTCGCAAGACGTCGAGAGCGCCCGTCTCGAAGCGGCGGCGGCGTGCGGCACGGATGCCGCCGCCGTCGAAGACATCTACCCGTCCACCCCCACGCAGCAGTCCCTCTTCACCTTCGCCATCAAGTCGACCAAAGCGTACGTCGCCCAACGCGTCGCCCGCATCCCGGGCCACATCCCGCTCGACGCGTGGAAAAAAGCCTGGGAGGACGTCGTCGCGGCAAACCCCATCCTGCGCACCCGTCTGGCCCAGCTCCAGGACCCCGGCTTCCAGCAGGTCGTGCTCAAGGAGAACATCGCCTGGCGACACGCAACACATCTCGCTTCCTATCTCGAGTCCGACCGCCAGGACGCGATGCAGCTGGGCCAACCCCTCGCCCGCTACGCCATCGTCACACCCGACGACGACGACGACGACGACAACAACAACAACAACAACACTTCCCGCTACATGGTCTGGACCATCCACCACGTCCTCTACGACGGCTGGTCCGAGCCGCTCATCCTCAACCAAGTCCGCAACGCCCTCCAGCAGCCCAACCAGGCCGCCGCCGCCACCACCACCACCACCCCAGCACAAATGCGCGACTTCGTCAACTGGATCCGCCACCAAAACGACACCGCCACGCAAGACTTCTGGCGACGCCAACTCCACGACGCCGTCGGGCCGCAATTCCCGCGCCTCCCCTCGCGCGACTACCAGCCCACGCCGACGGCGACAGTCTCGCTGGCGATGACAACGACGTCGTCGAGCAACAGCGGCTCCGCGTCCGCGTCCGCGTCCAGCCGAACCTTCACGACAGCGACGCTCCTCCGCGGCGCGTGGGCGCTCGTCGCGGCGCAGCACGCCGCGACCGACGACGTCGTCTTCGGCGAGACGCTGACGGGGCGCGACGTCGAAGGGTTGGCGGGGGTGGAGGGCGTGGTCGGGCCGCTGATCGCGACGGTGCCGGTGCGGATACGGGTCGGCGTGGGCGCGACGACGACATCGACTGTTGAGAGCTATCTGCGGGCGGTGCGGCGCGGGGTGCTGGAGCGCACGCCGCATCAGCATGTGGGGTTTCAGAATATTAGGCGCGTGTCGCCGGATGCGCAGCGCGCGTGCGAGACGGGGACGGGGTTGGTGTTTCAGCCGGAGGGGGAGGGGGATGGTGGTTGTGTTGGTGAGTTGGGGTTCGAGGTGGGGGATGTGGTGCAGGAGGCGCTGCATTTCAATGCGTATCCGGTGATGCTGGCGTTTGGGATTCGGAAGGGTGGTGGCGTCAGGGTTTGCGCGAGCTTCGACGAGGGCCTTGTGTCGGTGGCGCAGATGCGTCGGGTGCTGGCGCAGTTGGACGTGGCGTATGCGAGGCTGATGGCGGCGCCGCTCGACGCGCCGCTCGGGGACGTGGCGGCGGGGTTGCTGCCCGGCGACGAGCTGGATGCCGTTTGGCGCTGGAATGGGACGCCGCCCATGGGTGTCGACGAGTCGTTGCGGTGTCTCAGGGCGGATGGGGCCAGCGTCAGGCCGGGCGAGGTGTATCCCCGTGCTGTCGTGCCGTGGGTGTGTGACCTGCGCAGCCCGGCGAAGGCGTTGGCGCCGATTGGGTGTGTTGGAGAGCTGTGGCTCGAGGGCGCCGTCCTGCCTGGGGAGACTGTCGAGAATCCGGCCTGGCTCGTTGCGGGCAGCCCGGGCTGCGCCGGCCGCGAGGGGAGGGTTCAGCCGACGGGCGACCTTGTGCGGCTGCTGGAGGACGGCAGCATCGTGTTTGTGCGTCGGAAGGACAAGGTGTTGAGGATTCAGGGCCATGCGGTCGATGTTGCCGACTTCGATGCGCCGTTCAAGGCATGTCTACCGCAGACGGTGAGGGCCGCCGTGGCTGTGTCACAGCAGGAGTCGGGTGACGATGATGAGCGGGTGCTGGTTGTTCTTGTAGAGCACCCGGATTCCGAGGAGAGCGGTGTTGAGCTCAGGCCGACGACCCACGACGTCACTTGCGAGGGCGAGGGCCTGCAAGTCTGCTCCAGCGCTCCCGCTACCCTTGTTGTGGCCCTGAAGAAGCTCGACAAGTTCATCCAGGACTCGCTCGCGTCGTACATGGTCCCCTTCGCCTACGTCGTGGTCGACAAACTCCCCACCGAGATCAACCACAAAGCCTTGAATCAGCTCGCTTCGGCGGTCCCCAGAGACGTCCTCACTCAGCTCCGCCAGGGGCTCCAGGAGGCGTGGACTAAATCTGCGCCGCAGTCAACCTTGTCGCCGGCAGAGGATGTGCTGCGGTCATCCTGGGCCGAACTCCTCGGCATCGCTCCCGATCAGATCGAAGTGGACGACAACTTCTTCCGCCTCGGCGGCGACTCCGTCTCGGCCATGAAGCTGGCGTCGAGCCTTCGTGCCCAGGGCCACAGCCTGTCCGTCGCCGACATCTTCTTGCACATGCGTCTCGGCGACGCTGCCAAGGTGATGAAGATGAACCACGCGTTATCATCGTCGACGACGGCAAAGTCACAACCCCCGTACAAGCCGTTCTCTGTGCTGGGTAAGGTCGACGTGGATGCATTCTTGTCCGATGTCGTCCGCCCACAGCTTGCCGATTCACGCTGGTCTGTCCAGGATGTGTACCCGGTCACCGATTCGCAGGCACTTGACGTCAAAGCCACCATCCAGGCGCCGCGTACGTCGGTGCAGTATACTCTGCTTTACCTCGACAGCAGTGTGGACTCGGAGCAGCTGTCTCGCGCCTGCACGCAGCTCGTCAAGACCCACGACATCCTGCGCACCGTCTTCGTACGGGATGCCGAATCCAACCGATTCCTCCAGGTCGTCTTGCACAACCTCGATGCTCCCATCGCCACGCAACATCAGGCCGACGGCGTCAATCTCGAACAACACGTCACCGACCTCTGCAAAGCCGACATCGAATCCGCCTCCATCTCCCTCGGCTCCCCCTTCCTCAAGCTCTTCCACGTCCACGGATCCGGAGAAGACGACAACGGCCGCAGCTGCCTCATCATCCGCCTCTCCCACGCCCAATACGACGGCGTCTCCCTACCGCGCCTGCTCGAAGACCTCGACACCCTCTGCAAGGGCGCCGCCGCCGGCCCCCTCCCCCCCTTCGAACCCTACTCCACCTACATCGCCCGCGTCGTCCACAACGACCGCTCCCCCCACCACCGCGCCGCCCTCCACCACTGGCGCCGCCTCCTCGCCGACTCCACCCCCACCCCCTTCCCCGAGGGCCGCTCCACCACCACCACCCCTCACCCCACCGACCGCGCCCTCTTCCTCTCCGCCCCCATCGCGCACTCCCCCACCACCACCACCAACTCCGAAACAACAACCGCGTCGCTCCTCACCGCGGCGTGGGCGCTCGTCCTCGCCCGCCGCTCGCAGTGCACCGACGTCGTCTTCGGCGCCATCACGTCGGGCCGCGCCGTCGACGTCGGCGATGACGCTGGCGCTGACGCTGATGCGATGCTGCCAACGAACGTCGCGGACGTGGTCGGGCCGTGCTACCAGTTCACGCCGGTGCGGGTGCGGTTCGCGGCGGGGTGGACGGCGCGGGAGCTGCTGGGGTCCGTGCAGCGGCAGGCGGCGGGGGCGGCGGGGCGGGATTTCGTGGGGGTGGGGAGGATCGCGCGGGAGTGTGGGTGGAGTGGGACTGGTGGGGAGGATTGCGGTAAGGAGTTGGGACCGGGGCTGTTTGGGTCGGTGGTGCATTGTCAGGATGCGGCGGAGGATTTCGACGAGATGCCGTTTGCGGGCGGGAGGTGTCGGGTCGGCGTCGAGAAGCCGCATGGGGATGCGGCGTGGCCGTTCAAGGCGGTGTCGTTTGTGAAGGGTGGGGTGGTGCATGTTGGGGTTGTGGGGAGCGAGAGGGATGGGGCGTTTGTGGAGGAGATGCTGGGGGAGTTGGTGGGGGCGGTGGGGGAGTTGGCGGCGCCGCCGGTTGAGGGGACTGCGTTGTTGGGGGGTGAGGTGTTTGAGGGGGCAGCTTAATTTCGTTTGCGTGTACTTAGGCGCGTGATGGGATCTGATTTTTGGATGCGTATGTATATATTGAGCATTTATTTTTATATCTGGGTATTGACTTCGACTGCTTCTGGGTATCAAAATCGGCTCTACAGCACCTCCCGACTGCCCACTCCAGTCTCAACAACGTTGGATCCATCCTTCATGACCTCTCCATCCCTGCCAAACAGCACCACCTTCTCATCCTTGGCGAACTTCTCCATCTCGCCCAAACTCGTCGCACGCTCGAGAAGATGTCTCACATGCCCACCGCGACTCATGGCCGCCAGAGTGCTGGATTTCCACACCGGCGCTGACTCCCCGCACTTCCCAATCGTAAGGAACAGGAACAAGGCTCCCATCAAAACAACGACGCAATTCAACGCGATCCACGGCCAGCGCACGCTATAGTACGTCATCATCAGCCCGGACTTGCCCACCATCGTCGCCCCATCCGCATCCGCATCCGCCCTGAGCGCGTTCGTCATGCTCGTCGCCAGCGTGACGAACGTCTCGTTCAGATCCTCGCTCTTCCAAAACGGCTGGATGGCGCTCGGCTGATACTGGATCGACGTGCTGTTCATGTACCAGCCGTTGATCTGGCCCTCGACTGTCCCGTTCGACTCGTTGTACGCCTGCAAGTCCGCCTGGAACGTCGTCATAAAGTACGAGCTGATGCTCTCGACGGCATTCTGCGACAAGTTGAACATCTCGCCGTCGGGCGCAACAAGCGCGAGGTCGCTGCGCTCCGCGGCCGAGAAGTACGCGTCGAACGCGATGCTCTCCACCATCGACTCGTTATACGCCTCCCACGCGTCGGGGAAATCGACCAGCTGCCACGAGTCGGCCGCGCGATGCGCCCCATCGACGACGCTCACCTCCTCGACCAGCGAGCCGTTGCGCACGCTGGTCTGGTAGCGGTTGACGCAGTAGTACAGCGCGCACTCGGCCGCCTCGACGGGCAGGTCCGGCCACGCGGCGGTGGCGTTGGCGGCGTCCGGCCCCGTCTTGAGCACGCCCGCCGCCCAGATCAGCGTGTCCGACAGGTCCTGCAGGCTGTTGGTCAGGCTCGCGTTGGAGGTGCCGTACGTCGTCATGAACATGGCGCCGTATTGCGGCTCCGCGCCCCATTGCCACCCGTCGATGTTGTCGAGGAAGAGCCCGTTGGGCAGCCGGTACGACGTCCCGTTGGAGAGGGCCGCGGCGTTGTTGTCTTCCATCAGCGGCACGTATTGTCCGCCGTAGTCGGAGAAGCGGGTGAGGGATGGGGTGAGCGAGTTGCATTTGCTGCAGACGGCGAGGGAGTCGTAGGCTGGCCAGGTGCAGTTGCCCGAGGGGCAGTTGAAGCGGAGTTGCTGGATCGTGGTGTTGAGGGGTTGGGAGAGGCCGTAGAGGACCGCCGACTGCATCGAGAAGTCGGCGTCGGCTTTGGTGTTCCAGGTAGGGGGGTGCCGAGCTGTGGTGGGAGTTCTTCGTTAGCGTGCTGCGCCGG